CTTTTTTTTTTTTTTTTTTTTTTTTTTTTTCTTTTCTTTACGACGCGAAAATAATGTCGCGATCGTACGCTCTCGGTACGAAGTCGAAAAACGCGACAATCCAAGGTTGCGCGTGGCGTAAAATCGATAACCGCTAGAACATGAACGGCAAATCAACGAGGGACAAGTTGGATAGATGGCGAGACGGAAAAGCAGAAAGAAAACAGATATAAAACGTTACCTTTCTACCCCGTTATTTTGCTTCTGCTTTTATTAATAATAAATTCCGCGATGGACACGAGAATGATCTCTTTGTAATGAAAATTTGATGAAGAGGCCAAATCGCAGAAGTGCACACGGGGAACATTTATGACGTTTCGATAAATGAAATATAATATAAAATCTTGCTGTATAGTTAACGCCGAGTGAATGTAAAGAGATTTGGCCGGTAGAAATTTGTGTGAGAGATAATGGTCTCGCTCTCGTGAAATGGCATGAAATATTTATAAAGGAGGAATCGACCTAATTTGTCTTAAATCTTGAATTTATCAATGGTGGAGGCGCGACGAAAGTCGCCGAGCGTCAGAGAACGGAGAGACGGAGTGATATTTTCTTTCAAGCGATTTTACTTACACTTTTATCGTTTCACCGTAATTGCCCCATCGGGTAACGCGATAATGTGGTGTCCTAAATCAAACTATGTGCATCGCCGGACTACCTCGTCGCACACGAAATTCCACGCAAAGAAGCGGGATCGTTTCTTATCATTTCACCGCTAATCGTACCTTATCATTGCGCAAACAAGCAATTCCCCGTACGCTGGCCGTATACAAGTAACAGCGGTATTTGATTCTAGCTTTCTGGCGGCGAATGTGAATCCTTTTATTGATCCAACGAAATATAGCAGATTCGTCGACACGCGATGATGCACCGATCAGATCGGATCGCGCACAACTTTTGAGACAGGTAGATTAATTAGTCGTGCGTCGCTATGGAAGAAAAAACGAGCTGTGCAGTACAGAATATTTCTTGGATATTTCATGTGCCATACGACAATTCTTTTCAAACGTGTCGATTGGGCATAGAACAAAATTCTCAAGTCTCGAAAAATTCTCTTGTAGCCCAGCGATATACAACCTTTTTTAAATTGCGGCCCAGATTTGTATCTAGTTAAATTTATAGAGATTGCAGCGAAACCATTCTTTCCGTGCAACAGTTACAAAAAGAAACATTCTGCTGAACGCGGAATGTACGCGGCTATTACAACATTGCTGCAATGTTGCTGGAATGCTTTGAACTGCGTACATGGGCTCTCTCTTTAAATAAGGTATGCGCCGGCATTCGTAAATGCAGTGATCGGGCCAGCGATTTTTACGTCCGGGTGGATTTGCAGTCACCACGCGACAATGTACAGCGCCAAGGGACTTCCGTAACAGTCGGTAGAATGGAAATCTTGATTAATACAGCAGGCGGTTGTCGGGAGACACGTATGGGGCGGAAGATAAGCGCGAGAATGAGAGTAGCCAGGGTTAGGCGAAGCGGGGCGATCGTGTGCGCCTCTCTATCGTTCCACGAACAGCGGAGCCGGCCTTGCGAGAATCATTTGTCAGGCAGAAGCTACTCGACGTCCCGATAATTTTTTATTATGCAAGTAGGCCGCAATAAATCCTTATCTAACCGCATTCCCGGCCGCGCACGTCGCACGAATGTACATTTGCCTACCATCGCGCGTTGCGGCAAAAAGCGCGACCCGATTAAAAAATTCGCTGCGCCGGCGTCGGCGATAATGACACGGAGGAGGAAAAAACGGTACTTCCACTGTCTCCGTATCTCGAATTCCCGTCGCTGCGATAACGTTCTGGATAATTCCCGGCGACGATTGATACACGGTGTCACCGCCGCCGCGTCGCGCCGTAACGACGCCGACGAACGATCTTTCGCGCATACACCGAAATCCGGCGAATCGAGCGATGCCGGATGCGTATCCATCCGTCGAGCAAGGTCAAGGTCTCTCTCTCTCTCTCTCTCTCTCTCTCTCCGAGACGACCGAGACTCGGCGTGAATGACGTGACTGACGCGTCCCTCCGATTTAAGATCGGCGTCAGTGAGGGCTTCGCGTGGCTGTCGCCGACACGTCGAGACGCCGGTAATGCTGGTAATCGCGGCGCCCGCGCTTCCGCGTAAAAATGAAAACGGAAGCCGCAAGTGCTCGATTGTGCAGAGAGAGCGAGAGAGAGAGAGAGAGAGAGGAGAGACACACACCACTGGCGAAACGGCTATTCCGAATGTAAGCTACCCTCCCACGAGGATGTTGGGGAGGGGGGGGGGCGCGAGAATTGAACGATGCACGCTGAGAACGACGGTACGCTGAGAATCCTCGGGGCAGAAATGCGATACAAAGCTCGACCGCAAACGCCGCGTAATAAGCGTCGAGCGGGAGTATTTCTAGCGGGAGAACTTCCGCGAGAGAACGGCGCATCGGCGTAAAACGAAATGTGTGCGGCGACGCGCCGCTCGACGTCGCTGCCGACCGAGGGTAGGTTATATCGGGGACGTCGCGACGCCTGCGCGGGTTTCATCGACGATCAGCTGGCTGGAAGCTTCCATCGTGGTGGGAAGCGAGACTTACGTGGAGGGACGACGGAGATAGATGAAGGAGAGAAAGAGGGACGGCGGCTCTAACATACATCCATTATCGTCGCCGACGACGAGGGCAGTACTGACGACGCCTACGCACGTTTTTGGCAGCGTTTTCCCGTTGCTCGTTGGCGTTATCGGCGTCGTCACCGTCGCCGCCACCATCGACGACGACGACGACGACGACGGTAGTGCGCGTCAGTACGCGGCCGTGCAGTGCTGCCGTGTCGGTCGTTCCTTCGCCGTCGCCTTCGTCGGTCGATAGAGGCACGCCGGCGAAGGTGCGACGTACGTCCACTTCGATGAGCCGCCCGCCCGTACTTTATAATGCGGCGCGCCCGTTATCATCGTCGCGCTTCCTGTCCCTCCGCCACGTCGTCGTCCACGGGTCGCCGCGGCCGCGCGTCGATCAGACCTCGCGTTCACCGCCGGGTGACTCTATAAAGACTTGAGAGCGTCGCGGTATTCGCGAGCGGCGCGCAAGACGAGCAGCGTCGCGCGACGAGCGACGCACTCGTCAACGTCCCCGTCGTCGCCGTGTTGAGGGACGCGTCGTATTCGTGCGATCAGTAAAGCCAAATCGCACGAAACCGGAAGTCGTTCCCCTGTGCGGTTGCATAGGTTTTCTATTTGCATGGGCTGAGCCACAGACAGGTGAGAGAGAGAGAGAGAGGGGGAGAGAGAGCAATCCAGTTCCTTACTCCGAACCGGAAAGTGATCCTGTCCGCGACTCCTATCCTGGGATACGATCGCAGCTGTGTTTTCATTCGATACCAAGGGCGAGCACTCCTAACGGAAAGATATTCCAGCAGCGTCTCTCGATACAGCTTCGCGCGATGGAGATGGGCCTCCAGCAGCAGCTGTCATTATAGCGCGCCACGTCTCGACGCCGAAGCGGTATGAGTCACGCTTTAATTATTGGTTTGACGTTTTAGCGATTTATTGCCGCGACACTTGTTATCCCTCATTTCGGATCATAGCCGGATTATTCCGGACTTGGAACTGGGTCCATCCAGTTCTCACGCCGAGCCGGTTGGCGTCCACGTTGAAACAATTTGCCTTTGTTTTCCTCGGAGGATATTACATTTGTACGGTGTCATTACGAGGATGAACGTCGAAGCTGCCTTAGCTCTCGGATACGCGAAACCGTAAGAAGAAAATTGGACAATTATCTCACTGAGAGAAAACGTTCGTTCTCTCTCAGAAAACAGGCTGCGCGAGAGAGGAATTTTCCTGAACGGCTCCCGAAGGCTTCCGAAATCGCTCAATCATCGTAGATCGGTGTATGTATGCTGGTGTAGTACGTGATCCGTGGGGAACGATCACGTTATAGAGACTTGACGGTGTCTGATTGCACTCGGAGGGTAGGACGTCATCGAATAAACCGCCCCTATCGCTGCTGCTACGAAGGGATCGGGGGAGTCAATCGCGGGGAGCCCCGCAGCACGTGCGGGCGTGCTCGTCGTCGTGGCGGTTCCCTTCTGATGGTACAACGGGTAAAAGTAGTGACTCACCGGCGACGGACGAGCGCGGACGACAGCGTGGATCGTCCACGGCAGAAGCACCGTCGTCGTCGTCGTCGTCGTCGCGCCACGTCGGGTGGTGGTGGTGCGCCATGGGTCGCCGCCTCGCCCCGATGATCATCCCCGCGCTCCTCCTCGTGCTGGCCCTCTGCTGTCCGGGATGCGGACGCGCCAACTTCGCGCCCTTCAACGACCTGGCATCCGCGGAGCGGATCCCGGCGGAGAAGCGTCCCGCGCCGCACGGGCCGCAGATCGACGCCGGCGACTTCCACGGCGATCCGTACGGCGCTTACCCGGGCCTGGGCTTCGGGCCCATGGGCCCGATGATCCGCTCGGCCCCGCCGAACGATGACACCCCACGCAGCCTCTCGTCGGCCAGCAGCGACGATGCCGGGCAACGGAATATTCCTAAGGAGTCGCAGCTCGCCTCGGCGCGCTCCGGCGACGACGCCGCGGTCGGCGACGACTCCTCGACCGGCAACAACGAACATTCGCCGAAACCGGAATATCGCATCGTCAGCGTAGAGTTCACGCGCGTCGAAACGCCCTTTCTCATCGGGATTTGGATCTTCTTCGCCAGCATTGCGAAAATCGGTAAGTGCTGGGAGTATGAGAGCTGATCTTAATTTTTCCTTTTTTTTTTTTCTTTTTTTTCCTTTTCTCTTCCTGCCCTTGTCTTCGAGAGAGGATACGTGTAGGCGTGAGATCTCGGCTTTTCCGAAGCGTATCGTTTAACGTAAACAACAGTCTTTTTGCAGTGTTTAAGAATGAACTTATTATAGAAAAATGACAGATAGATATATGACACGTGCAATAAACATTGGCGATAAATCATATACTGGATATTCGTTCAAGAAAGCAAGTAGTATCTCGTGACTCTATATGTCTTCTTCCGAGATACTTGTATTGATTTAATGCAGCAAATGAGTATTTGTCAATAGTAGTTAAGAGAGTCATCCTTTATAAGACTTATATCTAAAAGTACAAAAAATTCAAGTCAAATACGCAAGTGTTACTTGTCGTTATAAATATTTAATTCGAGCTTTGTTTCTTAATGAAGAGAGAGAAGAATATAAAGGTTTTGAAGAGACGAAATGTTCTGAAAATATCTTTTGTGCCGTATCCATTATACGTTATAATTAACCGTTTTAACTTGTAATAACATGCTCGACAAAATTGGAAACAGTTAAACAATACAATGTACGTAATATGATCATTTCAAATATTACGATAGACAACATGTTATTTGAAAATTGTCATGTTACGAACACACTCTGCCTCTATTGTTATAACCGAAAACATCTGTCGCAATTTTGTTATTCGCCTGTGCACATCAGGCTGCATCAATTTTCACGATAGTGACGCTTTTCGATGAATACATTAGCGCACCTATAGTTTTCCATTTGCTTACGTAACAAAACCTGGCAAATGCCATTGAAAACCGGCTGCAATACTCGTTACGTTATGCAAGGCTCATTACCCTTTTTCGTTACGACGAAAATTTGTTTTTAATAATTTCTCGCGAATGAATAATACGTGGGCAAATGCGAATCAAAAAAGCTGTTATCATACTGAAAATATCGGAACAATCTCTCTCTCTCTCTCTCTCTCTCTCTCTCTCTCTCTCTCTCTCTCTCTCTTTCTCTGTCTATGACTTATTATTTATTAAGTGTAAATTAAAGGAATGAATAACAAATTATAATTTGTTAAGATACGAATTTTTATTCGATATTTTGCATAACGCATTCGTGTGCAAGCTTTTGCTCGCGCGGCAGAAAAGCCACGATTTTGCATTTCAAAATCCATAAAGATGCTTCAGTACTCAAAGGCTCAAGAGTGTAGTATCTTACGATATAGTATTTCACGATGCACACATAGATACATTTTTGTGTGCGCGGCGCACGATAAGCGCCGAATGTGAACTCGAACGTTAGCATTCCATTTACTGGATACCCGTTTCGAGCAATACGAAACTCGATGGACGCGCAATTTTTCTCTCTCCGTGCAATTTCACTCGCGTGCAATAGCACGCACGCGTGGATACGCAAGCACGCGGCGAGACGTGGTGGTTGAAGAAACAAACTGTGCCGTTGATATTTCTGTTCACCTGACGGAGCGGTGGTAAAAGTCACGAAAGTGAACGAACGGGCAAGAATAAAATACACCTGCCTACATAAAATTCGCATACGTCATATCGCGCAAATATCTTGGCGGGGTATAAAAATTTACGTTTGGCAGAAAGAATGTTTTATCGTAGTAGATAAATACAACGGCAGATTTTTTTTTAAATACTGTTGAGTTTCCATTGATAACTTTTTTCACTGTCACTTGTATAATGCGATCAGATCAAAGACTTGACAAGATTGTCCTGCTTTCGACAGGGGACAATCCTGTCAAATATTTCAAAATACGAATAATACACCACTGGAACCAATCTCGTAATAACACGATTCTGAATATAATAACGAAGTCGTCCTCTTTTCACTTTTAACAAGAGAACCTCGTGAAACGTCAAATTCTGATTTTAATGAAACTTTTATACCAATAACATTTATTTTAAGAAAATGAAATTTTTATATCAATATTTTTAAAAAATAATTTTCGCTAAATTCATATTTAAAAAGTTATTTTCAAAAAAATATTATTGACGTAAATAAAGGTAATTTTATTATAAAATTTTTGTATTAGAATTTTTTTCTATCCAACAATTGTTGAGATATAACGAAAGAAATTACTACATATAAAGGATGATTTTATCTCTTAAAAGCGTTTATTTGCCGCTAATGATACTTTTTAAATTCGTCTATTTATGTAAGCTATACTATATTTATGTAAGCTATAAGTATACAAAGTTTTAATAAGATCTGAATCCGTGAGATTTTCTTGTTAATCATAAAATTCAGGGTTGTATTGGAGACGCAGTTTTATCGCTACTCCACTCGGAAAGGATTTTTGTTATTTCGAGATTCGCTATTACGAGGTTCCAGTGTACTACTTTTTAAAAATAGATTGCTATTATCGTATTTATCTTTTCTATATATTTTTCTTACCCCCTCAACGTGTATTTGTTCTGTTTTGAATTCGAAAATATCTAGTCGGAACTAATATAAAATATCTCGTCTAAATTTATTCCACCGTTACGTTTAGCGGCTCATTCGTCGCATTACGAGTTATCCATAAGCGAAGCGAAGATTCCACGGAAAATATCGAACAAGATACGTAGAATATTGAGCACGTTCACGGATACATCGTACGCGATACAGCACGACACGCGTTAACAAAACCCTTGATGAGTGGGAGATATCACGTGCCGGGCGTGAAGATATGCGTAGCACACGTGACACGTTGCAACTGCCGCTCTCCATTAAAATTTTCGCCGCTGCAGAAATGCCACGTGTTTCTGCCACGGTTAATTCTCCGATTGAGGCCGATTGTAATTTCGATGATTCTGACTTCCGACGCTGCAGACTGCGGATTATTCTCACGTTCCTCTGCGGTTGATCGGGATCTGAATTTCGAATCCAGAATTGTAAAGATTAGAGCGACCTACTTAGAGACCTTATAACAGAGTCTGACCGCAAGCAATTTTGTCAAAATCTTACTAGAAACGTACACACGTATATTTTCTCCTTGTATATTTAGTTTGGTACACATGGGTTAAATTGATCCAACCGACAAAATTTATACGCGTGCATTTTTACGAACGCTTTTTATAATATAAAAATCTAATTTACAAATAATGATAAAGGCAAATACACACGATGATGATATGATTATGATATGAAGATGATCTTTTGTTAATTTTGAGGCTCTCACGGTTACTTCCTACAAATGAGCTATGCTTTTAACGGGTAATCTCAGTATCTAGGTCCATTGTTAGAATGCCAACGTTTCGTGAATATTGTAGTTCACTTCATCAGAGCAAGGGGCAGCCTTGATACTATCCACTCGTAGCAAGCTGCTCTTTGTCATGATGAAGTGAACTGCAATGCTCACGAAACGTTGGCATCTAACAGTAGATCTAGATACCTACGAAACACACAACTATCTTTTATACAATATTTAAAACGATAATATTTGTACACTAAGTATAAGCTCTTATTGATATTTAGTAGGGATGCACCGAATATCCGGAAAGTACTCGGTAGTCGGTATTATCCGGCTCTTTTTTACTATCCGACCGGATAGTCGGATATCACTATTATCTGGTTGAAATTTGGTATCGTTAAATTTTTTCTTATACTCAAATGTTCTAGAAGTAAGTATGCATATTCATGATGCTGTAATATCATATACATTGTTGCAAAATTACAATCTTTATCCCTATAGGCCTTTTCTTTAGAAGGCACTTTCTCAGATTCCGATCGGATATCGGCTATCCGATGTTACATACTGCCCGGATATCCGATATCCGGTAATTTTATCGATCCGGTGCATCCCTAACGTTTAGATACACAGACATATCAGAAAAGTTTATACATAGATTGTGAATCTTATAGATCTAGTGTGGCGAAATAAGTAGCCAAAGAAAAGTATGGAAACAAAGGATTAATTAAAGTAAAGAAGGAAGAAATACATATTCCTCTTTCTCCCTCTAGTAGGATTTTGATAAAGTCGCTCGTGATCAGACTTCGTTATGGGTCTCCTGAACTAACGATTAATGACATATTTAACATAACGATTGGCGTCCAGGTTTCCACATGGCGCCGAAGCTCAACAAGATCTTCCCGGAGTCCTGCTTGCTGATCGTCGTCGGCGTGATCGTCGGCCTGCTGCTGTTCCAGGCGAGCAGCGTTCACATTTCGCCGCTAACGCCCGACACATTCTTCTTGTACATGCTGCCGCCCATCATCCTGGATGCTGGCTACTTCATGCCCAATCGGCTGTTCTTCGACCATCTCGGGACGATACTCCTGTTCGCTGTCGTTGGAACTGTATTAAATACGATGTCGATAGGTTGGTAAAGTGGCGACAACACGACGCGACAACACCCGCTCGGGGCTCGGTCGATCGGTGTTAGGGCGATCTTTCGATTCGGATATTATTTCTTTTCCCTCGACGCGTAACTCCCACCGATCGTAACTCGGACTTCGTTTTCGCCTTGCCCACGCAAACCAATTCCGATTGTACATATATAGAAATACTTATCTACCCTCGGGATTAAGAAGCAACACTGTGAGATCCTCCGAGTGATTTCAAGTGTAAAATGTCATGAAGTCAAATATAATCGTAACGTTAACTTATGACGATATCTGTATCGGGAAAAATGAAATGAAAGTTCGAGTATTCTCATTTTCAGTAATAATTAAAAATTTTTTTTTTTCTGAGACGATATTATATTTAAAAAGATAAATAAATCTTCCTACAGTTTTAAAAGATTTCTCCTCACATATGTGCTTGGTACAACTGTATTAAGCTGTTAACATCTGTTTGGCATCGTATCAAAAAGTAAAGCTTTATAAGAATCAAACTTTCGAGTTAACTTTCGAATTAACTTCGCATAGCAATCCCTTATATATTTATATTTATATTTTGAAAATTATAAATATGATTGACCAACTTAAAATCTAGTTTCTTTTATTCTTTTAAATACTATAAAACTACACTGAAAAAAATGATTGGCAACAAATCAGATGGTAAAACATGGAATAGCATATTTAATTGACTACTGCAACCAATTAAAAATGCTATGCCATATTCAGCCAATCTTTCCTTTCAGTGTAATATTTTTAACTATAATATAATACCTTACGAATTTTGAAATTTGCAACAAATAAATTGCAGCAAAGGAGAAGAATAGATTTCAACTCTAATTTGCAGTCCGCTAAACAATCTGTTTCAATGCACGTAGATAAAAAAAATTCTGAAAAAAATTAATTAAAACTTTGAAAGTGTAATAAGGAGGTTAAACAAGTTGGTTGCGTACATTATACACGTATATAAAGAGAAGCATGCATAAATAAAACACTCCGAGCATCCCCCGCAGACGGTGGAATTTCCATTCTTCACTTTTGCTCATGGTCTGTTCGCGATCTAGCGTAAGCGCAGATGTTCATCTTGAAAACGTAGAGAAAATGCACGGCTTGAGAACGAAAATAGCGTGCGCGTCGAAGCGGATGCGCGAGACGAGCGGCGACGACGACGACGACGACGACGACGACGACGACGACGACGACGACGACGACGACAACGACGCCGATGATGATGATGATGATGATGACGATGACGATGACAATGATATGCAGAGAATATGTGGCAATTGTCATCCCAACGCTATCATTCCGACGCTATCATCGCAATGATAACGCGCGATTCGATCGTGACACCACGATAACCGCAAATTTCACGCGAAATTGTCGCTATGACTAAAAAGGAAGAAGAACAAAACCGACACGACATTTGACAAAATCCAAGTTATTTAATGCTCGATAAAATGCGCGTTAAAATAACGAAATAGGTTAAGATAGATACGTCGAGTGTAAACGACGGGCGCGATTATTGATTAGGATTGATGAGCACATAAAAAGCTGTCAGTGCTATATTTTCAAGCTATTACTTCTTATCGTAAAAGACGCCAAAACTGTGTGTGCCAAATAGCACTATAAAGTGTTTCGTAAATGTCAATGTAAGCATTTATGAGATGCAAAATAAATGTAAAAAAGCACTTTTTTATTCCTTTTAATAAATAGAATGTTATTAATATATAATGTCATTCCTAAAATTTTCATATCTGTCTCTTGTGATCTTTTCTCTATCTACATTACAACTTTAAATTATTTCAATACAAATATTGAATCAAATTTTTGTTTATAATCAATAATATTTATTTAATAACGTTTTGAAAAGAAATGTAGAACAATACGGCTGTAATTTTCGCAGTTTTGATTTTCATTAAAATCCTGTTGAATATCGAAATTTAATACAATTTTAATTAATGCACGAAAATATGTAGAAAATATGTACGCAAACTTAAATTTCTTCAAGCGACGCAAATATTTGCGAATAAATGGTAAAGATGACTTTTAAAAACAATGCGAGATAAGATAGAAGTGTGATACGCGGGATCGTTACCTTAAAATTTAATTATTTTCAACGAACGTTCGCCGTAACTACCACGATTAGATCTAACGACATTCGATTAATTGAATTAATCTCTTAAGAAACTCGTGACCGAAATAAAAGCTCTTCGCTTTTCTAAAACCGTACCACACGTAACTTTCAAATAAGAAACGACACGAGCAATAATGGCAGCGATCGATAACATGAAATTATGATGTACGATGTTAATTAATATCCTATCGGAATAGATTAAAAACTGACACTCTATTATTATCGGGAACTTTCAAAGGGTTCAATGCCAGGAGTAATATCTTTCTTTCGAAAGGGAGGAAGAATGCAAGTACTTGATGCAGGTACGAATATAACACGTGGGCGGAACACTGGTATTTGATAATGCAAATTTCTATCTTTGGCAACGTTAATCTTTCTTTCTTTCTCTCTTTTTCTCACTTCTCGCGGTTCAACGTTCAGTGACTTTGGAGGGGATCGATAGGATAATAATAATCTCGATAAATTGACGATTTATTCAGAGGTATTTAAAGCAGATTAACAAACGACATTCGTGACAATTAAGGCGATCACGAAAAATATGATATCAGATATTGGATCGCACATTACTATAATTGAAACGCTATTTGCACTTTCAGGTGTTTCATTATGGCTGTTGGGGAAAAGCGGTATGTTTGGTTGTGAGACGCCTATCCTCGATATGTTCCTATTCTCGGCGTTGATCAGTGCTGTCGATCCCGTGGCCGTGCTGGCCGTCTTCGAAGAGATACATGTGAACGAGATACTCTACATCGTCGTGTTCGGAGAGAGTTTATTGAACGACGCGGTCACTGTCGTAAGTATTACATTATTTACATTACGTGATGCTGCACGTCAAGGAGTTTGTTGCGTAGGTAGCACACTGTGCTGCAGAAATCTCTGTCCTTTTGTTACGAACTATTAAAGGTCTTCGATACGTATAGAGCGAAGATTAAAGCCGATCAATCCTAATTACTCGACGTCTGCGAATACGAGATATTTGCGCGCATCTGATAGATAAGCGTAAGAAGAAAATGGAATACATGATTATATCTTCTTTTTTTAAAAATAACCATAAAGATACATCGAGTAGATTTTTATAATTACAATATGAAATTAAAAGTAAAAGTATCTTCAATGAGATTATTAGAAGTTTTTAAAAAATTAAACTCTACAAGTAAATAAATAAATCATAAAGACAGAAACACAGATATACATTTTTTTTATAGCGTATAGCAAAAATTTCTCAACTATATTATATTTTATATTAATGATTGCGAAATATCAGAATATACTCGACAATATTTCAAAGAAGAAAGATAACAATAACTATGCAGTAAAAAAACATTTTATATTTGCATTAGAAACAGTCCACTCAAGTCATTAAAATTGTGTTGAATTTTTAATATATCCGAGTGTTATAATTTAACTTAATGTGACAGTGTTATTTGAATATTTTATATTAAATCGATGTTCAACGTTTCTTAGTGTTAAACAATTAACAATTTATGAATAAGTGAATAAATAATATAAAAACAATGTTGTTTTTTTTTAATGTAAAATGTAAGATAATTAAACAAAATGTGTTAATTTAACATATTATAGAAAATGTTAATTTTAATGAAGAAATATGATTGCTTATAAATTATGTTAGTGTTACGGCTTTTGTGTTAATTTTTTACATAATACTTGTGTTTTAACAGATTCATGTTGTGTTAAATTAATATAAAAATTTTAGTGGATCGTTTGAGACATGCAAAATGCGTTAAATTTAATATAAATTTTCCAACCTTTTTATTACCACCGTAATTATTACCGCAATTATTTTATGTATGTCATCGGTCTCTTGCTCTTTTCGCATCCGCTCAGAATTGACCCTGAAGTTGACGTAGATTAATACCCTGTCTCTCACCCTCGCATGTCATATTTTAGAATATCTGATAAATAAAAGATAGAATATAGCAAAGCTTGCACATGACACCGCCAAACGACAAGCACTCGCCGGGCGAACGATCGATATAACATTGATCACATTCAGTCCATAAGCGCGGGTCAAGTATCAAATACCTTCGCCTCGCTTAAAAATTAACGTCATATTTGTACGCGACCTGTATGTCTGCAATCTGTAATACTTTTGAATAAAACAAAACGATTTAATCTAACCGTGTTTTGTATATATCACCGTTGTGACGACTTCAATAAACGTCGCCGACCAGGCGCCTCGACTAGATTATTAATATCATGCGCAATTAACTCTTAAAAAAATATCTGCAGCTTAAGTAAAGAAAAATATAACATCGTAAAGTGCGATGTTTCCAAAAATGCATTCCGTTCCAATTTTATCTGTTACGTCGCAAGTCTGAATATCTCTGCAAATAGATCAACATCCCTGCGCTATATATCGTATATTTATATGTCGTTAACCGTCCGAAAAAAAAAAAAGAAAAAAATGTTCTGCTTTGACGTAAAAATTGGGTCGTGCCCAGCTAAGAATGGCAATGCGAAAAGGGTTGAGCCGTTAACGATCCGTCGCTTATTAGTTTCGTGCTGTTGCGAGGCGAGCGAAGGAAAGTGTCAGGGGTTACTGCAACGATCGAGTAAAAGGCTATTTAATACGAATACGCAGGTGCTCTATCATATGTTCGAGACGTACAGCGAGATGGGCCCTTCTAGGATCATTTACACGGACGTGCTGTCGGGCCTAGCTTCGTTTTTGGTGGTGGCGATCGGTGGCACGGTCATAGGTGTAGTTTGGGGTTTCGCTACTGGCTTCGTGACCAGGTTTACACATCAGGTGCGCGTGATCGAGCCGATATTCATCTTCGTGATGGCGTACTTGGCATACCTTAGCGCAGAGATCTTCCACTTGTCCGGCATATTGGCGTAAGTAAACCATCGACTTTTCGACATATCGCGTTTCGCATCTCCAGCACCAAAGACGCGTTTCAATAATATACGTTTCAACAAATATATGCGATCGCTATTTTTCATTGAAAAATTGAGAGATCCAGCGATCTCGCCGCCTCCTATTACGGTATAACGAACATTATCGAAACCGTTCAACCTTGAATATTAAATATTTATGAACGACGCCCGTGGTATCAATTTCAAGAATAAGTTACAACAACTTGTTGCACTGATCCTATTGGCACGACTCTGCAGAAATTATAAGGAAACTGAAATAAACGCCAAGAAATCTGCCGCGGAGGAATCAGATGGATCAATGCCGAATAGAGTTCTAAACTACACGGCTTAATTCCCGCCGTTAGTTGCGTTCATTATCGCGTTTACAAACAAGATTTCTCAGCTTGCAAGCTTCAACTTTGTCGAAACAGCGATGATTGCCACGCTGCCTGTTCCGTAATTCGCGATCCCTTTATTCCAGAATAACCTTCTGCGGTATTACGATGAAGAATTACGTTGAGGCCAATATATCGCACAAGTCTCACACGACCGTCAAGTATACAATGAAGATGCTGTCAAGTAGTTCGGAGACCATTATATTCATGTTTCTCGGCGTCGCTACGGTGAACAATGCTCACAACTGGAACACGTGGTTCGTCGTCATGACGATAGTCTTCTGCTCCGTCTATCGAGCCATGGGTAAGCTAGATTTTCTAATTTTATTCGATTGGGAATGTCAGAAAAGGATTCCTCCTACTTACCCGTTGGCGTTCTTAGAACAGCTGTTACGAGATACACGAGGGATTACCGTAGGTATTTCAACTCACAACACGTTCTTTCATAAGAGATACTACTGAAGCACAACTCAACTTCCTAAATTTTCTTATATTTATTGTACAATTTCACGTTTCCGAAAATTCAACTTTTTGGCAAAAATACAATTTATAGAATTTTAACTTGTCTTCTGAATTTGGCTAATAAAGAGAAACATTTATATAGTCTGTGCAAAACTATTGGCGTGGAGAACTTTAGAAGGATATTTCAAAGAGGGGGAGGAAAAAAAACCAGGAAATGAGAGAAAAAGTAGCGTGATAATAGCGAATTCGTGTCGAGGAATTCTCTACGCGATCGCGCGAGCCTTGACCGGTCCAGTCGGATGGACATTAAGGGCATCGTTTCGCCGGCGAACGGAATGGCGTGTAAAGTGATATGGTTAAATGATGAAATCATAATGGGACTTGAGACAATTGACTCTTACTTACACGAGTATCTTACGTCACTCATAAGCGACGCGGCGCTTCACTTATGGCTTCTTGTTCTAACCGGACAATTTGTCACTTGACACGTGTGGAAAGTGCGGAAAGATAATGGAGCAGGCCTGTGTGAAACGCCACGCATTCCGTTAGACGTGTTACGTCGATGCACTCAATGTTTCACTTCATAATAGACAATTGACAAACTCTCTCGTAATTAAATAAATCTATCAGGATCGTATAACAAGATTGTAACAGATTTTTACAGAACCGAGAAGGCTTTTATGTAACACTTTACGATGAAATGAATTACAGATGAAAAAGAAATCGAGAAAGAAACAGATGCAATGCACGACAGATCAGAAATACGGATTTTTTTTCAAGATTCTTCTCATCCTGAACCGTATCAATGCTATCCACTGAAAAATGACTTATCGAATCGACATCGATACGATTCCGACGACACGAATTCGATATTCTAATCGACGGTTATTTCTCGCTGGGAAATACGTTTTTTTTTTTTTTTTTTTTTCTAAAGAGGATAGTACAGCTGTAATATCTCGCTCGGATTCATGTTCCAGGCGTGATAGTGCTGACAGCGCTGGCGAATCAGTTCCGGCTGCACAAATTGGACAAGGTGGAGAAATTCGTCATGTCCTACGGCGGTTTACGAGGCGCCGTAGCATTCGCCCTGGTGCTTCTTATAGATCCAAGACACGTGCCTCTGCAACCTATGTTCGTCACTACCACCATCGCCGTCATCTACTTTACCGTCTTCATCCAGGTAGGATCACGATCGTACGACTGCGCACGATGCACGATCGTGACACGGTCCATGACGAATTTGACGCGAACACGTAATGCACGCAAGCGTTGCGTAACGACGTTGGGTGTTCGCGTGTGTTTCTACGCGGAGTGGCAAGATTGCGGAGACCTTGCTCGAGGTAAATCGGACCGACCCAGTCAGCGACATTTTTCATGGAACCGATGACTCGCGCGTATTTTGAGACACGGTCGAAGTGGCACGCGTTTCGAGGGAGAGAGGAGAGAGAGAGAGAGAGAGAGAGAGAGAGAGAGAGAGAGAGAGAGAGAGTAATCTATACTATTTCATTGGAACGCGGCGCGGCGAGGAGAAAGAAGTGATCGCCTGTTAAAACCATGGATGATCGTCCGTTTAATCAACGATTAATGAGCGACGATACAAAGATGTCGGCCGCAAAAAAAAAAGCTCGGCTCTGCACGTGTGCTTTGTCGCGCGATCGATCGGAAACCTAATATCTCTATGTCGCACACACTTGAGCATACACTTTTGCGTCAAGCGTTTTATCAGCCGCGCGTTACTTTACTCGACGTTGACCGATAATTCGCGTCGGGAACGAGTGTGTTCCCGTACAGCACGTACGTTTTTTTTTTTTTTCGAGAGAGAGACATCCCGGGAACGTTTTTAGGCACGTTTAGAGGACGCAGAGACGTCCTCTGGACGTTTTTAGAACACCCCCTTGGAGGTCTTGGTGGTTCGCACGAGTTCGCTCTCGCGATGACGCTCATGTAAACGCGCTCTTATTTTTAGGGGATTACCATCAAACCTCTCGTCAAAATCCTCAATGTCAAAAGGGCGGAGAAGAGGAAGCCGACGATGAACGAGAGGATCCACGAGAGGGTACGTTACGCGACCAAATTACTTCGGTGGTGGTCGTTTGTTGTCGCTGTAATCTGGAAAATGCCGGGCGGAACAAAAGCGATCGCAGAACTGATATAGATGTGTAAAAATTCGATAATCGTGTTCAATCGCCGATGTGTGTGTGTGTGTGTGTGTGTGTGTGTGTGTGTGTGTGAGTGACGATAACGGAGCCTATTACCTCGAATCCCAGTTACGACGTATTTCTTTTTAATGGAACGACAGAACCGTACAATATGAAGAATAGGGTCGAACTGTGAAATAGGATAACGTTCGTCATTGTCAAGCCGCATTACAGAATGTGTATATAACGGCAATTTTTACCGGGACTTTGATACATGATTTGATTCTGCTTGCGTTTGCGTTTGCCCGCGTATACGTGGCAAATCCTGGCGGATTTGTGACGCCTGCGCTGCTCGTCAAATTGAAAGATAAATAACGTCTGTCTCTTAATAATGCTTCTTAGATAATGGATCATACGATGGCGGGTATCGAGGACATTTTGGGAAAACACGGCAACTACCACGTCCGGGATAAGTAAGACGCTTTTAGTCGTAACTTCGTGTTTTCGCAATGACATTCAAACTGTCGGTCAAGAATCTTGTACGAGAGTTAGCGTAAAATAATAAACAGAAGTAAAATTAGTTACAGAATTTATATCTAAAAATAGAAGTACATTTTTTGATAAAGATGAAAAGTATTAAATATGTATGATGTAGATTGTATCGTCTAATTATCGGAATTATCGGTTTTTTTTTTCCAGTATTTCTATTCACCTCTTCTGTTTTGTTTTTCCTCAATAAAAATATTATCTACCTTGGCTTGCTGTAGATTCAAGCGATTCGACAATAAATTCATCCGACCTTATCTCGTGAAAGATCATTGCGGCGCCGAGCCAAAGATTCTGGAAACTTACTCGAAGCTGGCGATGAAGGATGCGTTAGATTACATAAGAAGAAATGCCTCCACTATCGGCAACATTAGCGGCACCGAAAGTATGTCGGCGATATTCCGTAATTACAGCAATACCGGACAGTTCAATGGAAGGTGGGAAATTCCTGTTGTTCGCCACCGACAATTGTCGTTGATAAAATAAAAGCGCAGTCTAATCGCATTCTTTTTCTCTCTAGTCCCAGCTGCAGCCAGCTCGAATCGGGATGGAATATCGATCTGCAGGAACTGGAGTACAATCCTTCCAAAAAAGACCTAACGGACGCGAGAATCCACCATCTGCTCGCCGAAGAGCTTTGTAAACCATACAAAAGGGTAAGAGATTATGGTCGAGTCTAGATTTTCTCCAAATTCAAAGTCTCCTCGTGATATATGATCTTTAACGTATAATATATTATATGTAATAAAGTAGTAATCCCTCTATTATTAAATTTTTTTTAACTATATTTTCTGACAAATTTTAAATCCAATTTATCTCCAGCCAAAATAATAATTTCTCGTAATTGTTTTATTTTTACTTTAAAATATCCTGATATATTTTTTTTAAATATCATCCATTTGCAGATCTCTCCTAATTTCCAAATATTTTTTCGATATTTTACTATTTACTTCTTTTGCCAAAGAGATTTATTTTAAATTCATCAAAGAAGCTGTAATTAGAAAATATACCAGAGCATATTCTAATAATATTCTATTAAAAAGATATTGCGTCTAAAAATTTTCTACGAGCATCATATATTATTTAGCATCGACGTTTGAGCTACAGTCGACACGCGGTGAATGATCGCGATCTCTCGACACAAGTCAATTACAAAATGCACATGAATATTCGACGGATGATGGGGGAGCACAAACATCGCCATAAACGCAGCAAAAAGTTACTCAAAGTAAGAATCGATTAACGTCTCGATCGTTTGTCATATTTAATTTCGACGTCTTTGATTTTCCATTTTATCGATTTCAATTGTATAGGACGGCAAACAGAATCACGTTAGTTTCCCAGAATTTCAACAGCAGAACGGCTCGACAAAGCTATTTACGCAAGGTACGTGCAAAGCGTCGTGAATAATTAATTGTACTTCAAAGTTCCGTAATTTTTTCTCTTTTTTTTTTTTTCATGAATTATCGTGCACAGATTACATCAATGGCGTGCTGTATGAGTTAGAAAACGGAGAAACCTCGAAGCCCTCCAGCAAAGAGGATTGGGATTCAGCGATCACGTTCACCGCGCGAACATCCGGTAAGAAAACTTTTCTTTAACTTACTAAATCGAATTGAACTGAAAAATGAGATTGAAGTTAAAAATATAGGTATATCGACGAAATGCGACGATGAAAACGGTCAGGATGTCTTGGTTTCTCTCTTACATAGCGAAGATTATAATTTATGTACATGTAGATTGTAGGTTATTGAATTATCTTCTTGAAAAGAGTCATGACTAATAGAGCTTAAAATCTTTAAACGGAAGATTCGCCGAATGTAAACGCGGACAATCAACACGCTACCACCGCTACGACGTCGATGGACACAATAAATACGGACGAAGGAGACTTGAAAATAGGACGCGACGGTACGTTGTCAAAATGAGAAAAGGAAAGAGTTCGAGCATTGGTTTTGTGTTATTGCGAATCGTTCTTTTCCTTTTTTATGCGTATTTTTTTTTCTATTTTTCAGCATTATCCAAACCAGGCGTTGATCTTGTATTGCTGTGATTTTCTCTTTCGCGTCTTTTTTTATATTGGTGATAATGATTTTTCGAGTGTGTGTTATTTTTTCTTTTTTTTTTTTTTTTAAGGATTTAAAATCGATATAATTTCGGTGGACTCCGGACCTTTCGTGTTTACGGCATCGAAAATTGCATCCGCCGAAATCATAACGGTTTCAATTTCCATTTCGTACTCCCGTTACTGTTGTCTTGTGCGATATTTGACCTAGGTGCGGAAGGCTACAGAGTAACTACCCCTACGGCTACGGAAACTATGTTACCGTGGAAACGTGAGGACGATTACGAATCGGGTCATCCGATCAAGCAGCACGAATTTCCAGCCTGGTGCTCCAATAAAGAATACCTCGCCTACAGTTCGCCCTCCGCCACTTTCTTAGGTAAAGAAGGAAAAAAAAGGGGGGGGGGAGGAGGAAACAAGATAACTCAATTCAGCTGTCCAATATTAATGCACCGTAAAAGTTTTTCTCGATTTTTTTCTCTCATCAAAGAGTAACGAATATGAAAGCCAATAGACCGTCACGACAGCTGTAAGTCAGTTTTCCTCTAAGAAGATTAACAACTCCCCGGCAACTTTCAGCTCGCGAAATCGCTCACCGCCTGCCTATTTATTCCCAGCGGTACTTCCACATGCCCGATATGTCTTTCTGCTTTTCAGGTGGGATCGAACAGCCGAAAGTCCAATCCGTGATTGGCCTATTTCGACGCGAGAGCGTGTGCACGCCCGACAGTATCGATTGCCAAGAGACCGTCGACGAGGTGGACGAGACGGACGAGTACACCCCCGCGGAAATGGATTCCCCCGCGAAAACCAAGGGTACGTGACGCATAGCAGAAGGAGGGTACGTGTGGTTCATTTTTATTTCTTTTCTTTCTCCCCCCCCTCCCCCTCCCCCCTTCTTTTTTCATGCCCCTGCCGAGACGGATTATTCAATTTCCATTTTACATCCCCTTCCATTCCCTTCCAACGTTTTCAATGCATGGAGGAAGTTTCGAATACTTAGCGAAATATATATCGCTAATGTAAAAAGAAAAAAAAGAAGTTCGCATATTTCAAAGTTCTGAAATAATATTTCCAAATGACTCGATGATATACAACGACTATAAATTAATAACGCTTTAAGCGAGAAATGTTCGAAAGATGCGAAATGTTGAGAAGCACTGAAGTATGCTATTTTTTAATGCGCCTGTGACGAGCGTCACTCACGTTGCGTTACACGTCCGTGGCTATTTTTGTGAGCAATTGCAAAATGAGCATCGACATGCCAGTGCCCACACGTGCTAACCGTCATTTCGCTATGGAAGAAATATTGTTTTATGAACGGATTGCATGCATAAATTATAATATTTGTTCCGAAATTCTAATTCCTTTGTCACAAATCCATACAGTTTGCTCTGTTTATTAATATTGTGTCGTACAACAAAAGTAATTGAAATCATAAACTTATTAGTTTTTTACCTATTATTCATTGTTTTTAATCACTTTTCACTTTTTATATTTTTATCATTAAGACATTGATGTTTGCTGTTATATTTGCGATAGCGTTGTGGCAGAGAAACCGGTTTCCAATAAATATATTTAGTGTCTGCTTAATTTCAAGATGCATTAATCTATCAATTTTATTACATCCTATTTCGTTTATCAAATGTATGTATGTGTATTTAAAATTTTTTCAAATAAAGTATTTTCTAAATCGAAAATATCGATTATAAGAGAAACAGAACATTATTCGAGAACAGATGTGAAAGAAGATAAGAAAGTTTTTTTATCGAACGCGCGGATTACGATAAGGAATATTCTAGTCAAGAGCAAAAAAGTGGCTTATTTTGAAGAACTTTTTTAAAGGATATTATACACATTTTTCTACACTTTTATATATCTACTTATACATACTATATTTAAATATTAATTATATTCTACAAATTTTTATATGGCTAAATGTGTATTAGTTTTTATATTACGTAAATTTAAACACAAAATATAAAAATATATATCGGCGGTTGACATTTTACTTTCCAACTTAATTGAAATAAAAAATTCGAAACGATTTTTAGTTATTATTATATGAATGTGGCTAATAATCTGAACTAGAATAACTGGAAAATATTTCCAGTTATTTATTTGTTAAAATAATGCGGTTTTAAAAAACAAGTATATATCGATTTTTAACTCAACTCTTCAATTTAACGAATATGAAAAAATAATCAATTTACAGATATTGCAATAATCTTAATTTATGCGATAGACGTGTATTTTATATACATATATAGAAAAATTGATAGTTTCTGAACAATTGTGTTAACTGACTCGAAAAATACGGTTTCGAGAAAAATGCATTTCAAGCTTCAATATCCAAAAAAATGAAAGTTTACATCTAATCGGCGATACCAGAATTATACAACAAACTCTCCTTTAATTCGAAATACTCATTTTCATTTTTCTCCTATTTACACTTGATAACAGCTGCCTTTGAACGCGTTGACAGAGTGCGCGCATTAAACAATATACGCTAAAACAACTTGAAAACACTTGCATCCCCATCATTTTTTATCGATAAAACCTTTTAGGAACTTATTTTCGAGAGAGAGACCTTAAATATTAGAAAAGAAAAATCGATTTTTTTCCTAGACTCTAGAATATACCCTTGAACATCTTCAAGATACATTACAAGATAGTTGAGAGAGACACCGATAATCGGCCAAAACGCTATTCGTAAATTCCTCCGCGATTTCCTCAAATGAACAACACCTTCGGCTTTCCTTTCCCAGGCAACTCGAGGAGGGTGCCCGCGAGGAGGGTGTCAATGATGGAGCTCGGCTTCGCCGACCGAGCTCGTTCGGTGGACAGAACGGCGGACGACGGATCTCACTCCTTGCCGGACTGCTGGAATGTCCAGAGAGTACGCCTTAACTCCCTCGCCTGCTCGCCCGCCCAAATGCCGACTCTGTCGACCGCCCTGATCGCCTCCTCCACGTCGGAATCGTCGGAGGATGTGGATGACGAAGAAGAGGAGAAGGCTTGACCCTTGGGGACCGTCGCTGAGGAGCGACCGTCCTCCTTCACGGACGTCGAGCGTCGGCGTCGTCGGCCCTTCCGACGACCACCGCGACACTCGTTGCTCACCTCGCTCCTGCGACGACCGAGTGCCCCCGTTTGAGAAGATCTGCCCTTGACAAGCCGCCTTCTGCAGGGGGCATCTCACGAATCTGAATCTCGGCCTGAATTTTGTTAATACGCCCCCGCGAATACGCGAAACAAGACGTTGCGATAAATAGATCCCGGGAGAAATGACTGTGCAAGGAGAGACTGTGGAAAACGCATCGGAGCTTTCGATTGAATTTTGTACGAGGAGAGATATTTAGGAAGATGCGAAAATTTCACCTTTAATTGGACGAAGGTTACACGCGAAGACAAAAAGGGAAGAGAAGATGTTCTTTCTAAAAAGTTCACGGTGACAAGTTTCTCCGCGGTAACGCAAAAAAGCGATGAATCTCTCTGGACGATCTTCTATTCAAGTTTGGTATTCGATATTCGCGATATACAGCTCGCCAATTCGGAAGGAAACGAAACGCGTATGCGAGATTGAAATTTGATGAATGAATCACTGTTATTTTTTTCTACACGTCGCACGAAACGCATTCGCGAGAACGAGGGCGCTTGTCAAGAGCAAGGGCTTCTTTCTAAATCCGTCTTTAAGACGTCTTGGAATTGTGGCCTTATAAGGACTATAAAAGTGCTTGGACGCCGACGACTTGTACGCTATCGTCGTCGTCGTCGTTATCATCGGCAATTATCAAAATTGTCGGTGCTATCGATAAAAGTGTGTTTGTGTTGTAAGAATTGTTGCGCGGCGCCGTTAAATGCGCCGCCAGCTTGTCCCAAGATTTACCACGAGTACCTTCTCTCGGGGGGTGGATTAGACGATGATCATCGCTGTTGTGTACTACGCGATTAGCTCACGGTCAGACTAATCGACTTAGTAGAAAATTACGTATAAAGTCGGATTAAACACTTAAGTCGCTGCCACAATTTACTATAAATTCTGAACGTAATTCTGCCAGTAGGATAATGAGAAAAAAACAGAAACTTGCGCCATAATGTCGCCTCTGGTAAAAATATTCAATTTTCAATCAAATAAATAATTCACGTTACTACCGAACTATTTTACGATATCATTTTCTATAGAGAAAATTCAACTTTAATCTCCACGTCGCTTGATAGGAAATATTTTTATTCTTCCTAACAAGATTTTGAACAGAATCATTTCAAACTCTCACACTCATCAAACTGTCAATTATAGGTATATACTATGACTCATCTTTGCCATAAGCTTTTGAAAATAGTGAAAGGAAAATAGCGAATTCGAATGATTGGGAATTAGGCGTTCATTAATCATTCGATCAAATCTACGCTTTGTTCGTTTAAGTCGATAGTCTGGCCGCAGCTTCGTTCGCAAAACGACCGATAGTCCAACATTAGGTGCGTTATATCGTTAGTAGTCTCGTTATCGTGTTTCTGACGCATGCACGCACGCATGTATGCAACATCGCGGCACGTCGCGGTATACGTAGATGACATCTTGTAGCGACGCATCCCCAGCTGAATTTAGGAGAATTAATTCCTTTCCAAGCGAACGGTTAACACGACGTTCAATCGACGGTGCAACTACCAATTGCGTAGAATTGCTCAGGCGAGAGAGAGGTGCGTACAGGCGCGCCGCTCTTCTCTTCGAGTATGGCCTTAAAGAAATCTTTTCAGCAAGCGGATACTCGTGAGTAACACGGTGCCTGGTGTATGATAATACACTGTTATAATACATTGTTAATATCGCGCGGCCACGGCACCGCTTGGTCAATATTTAGCGAAAAGCCGCCAGAAGCATGTACATACGGTTTTTCTTAGAAAAGATACGCTAGAAAATTGTCGGCATCCTCATCATTGTCATCCTCAGCAGCATCCTCATCCTCACTATTTTTGTTATCGTTTAGTATTATTTCGTCGGTGGAGAGAAAAAGAAGAGAGAGATAAAAGGAGGCGGAGCGCGACCACTAGACCACTCGGTATTCTAGTTATTATTGTTACACTTGTTACTATCGCTAGTATGTGATTATACTAGTTCTACTACTAATAATTAATAATGCAATTATAGCCATCGCTCGGCGCGGGCGGAAATCAGAAGCGTCGAGTTCTTGCTAGTTTCGAGGGGAACTTGGTCAACAGAGTCTTTTGATAGTTGGAGACTTATTTTGATTATCAAAATACGAATCGAGAAAAGAGAGTGAAGTTAAGAAGTGGGAAGATCGCCTGAAACAGTAGAACCTTGTCATCAACCGTCCCAAACATTTCTATTGTAGGTATATTACAGAAATTGCTATCTTCCTTAGGTCCGGTTGCACCAACGTTGCTTTAATTTTAAGCGAGGCTTAAAACTCTCTTTATTCCTGTCTCTTTTCGGTGTTAAAACGAGATAAGAGAGAATTTAAAATTTCGCTTAAAATCAACGTAACGTTAGTGCAACCGGCCTTAGGCTCATTCTTTTTAGCTGAATATCTTGCACTGTTTATCTTTCCTCTTTTTCTCTACATTGAAGAGAAAAAGAGAAAAGTTGAAGTCGTGTCAAAAGTTCAGCTAACAGGAATCTCTTGTATTTATTTTCGCGTCACTCATAACAATTACCTAATACCGATTTTATTCTTGCCATAATTAACTTAGACTCAATAGGCTTTTGACTTTTAACAATTACCTCATGGCTCTTTGGGACCCTGTGATTTTTATACTTCCTTATAAATGCATTATTGTAATACGGATCAGTACTTAATTTAGCATACGCAATCTCTTGATATCCGAACCACTTTTGTATCTACGTAAGGGTGACAGGGTATAAGTTCGCTTTGTAAGAAAAAAAAATAGAGAAAAACACACGGGAAGTTTTTTGTGACGATAAATAATAAATGATTTCGCACAGATTTGGAAGTTCCCCTCGCATGGAATATTCCTCGCGGCCTTTAGTTACTTAGACCGGATAAAAAAACATCGGACTAGTCTTTAGATGCTAGTCTCTACGCTGTTGATTTGTTAAAAAGGAAATAAATGTTTATTTCTTAAAACACTATTACATTTGATATATTTATTTCACGTATAATCTCTTACCTCTTTATCTGCCAATTCCTTAGAGATCATTCTCACCAATAATAAAACTTGACTTTTAGAAGATCGACACAGTTTCTATATTGTTATCAGCTCTCTCTCATCCTTCTTCACTAACATCTTCCTTCTTAAAAAGAAAAATAAGAATTATAAGAATTATAAATATTTCTGTAATTATATGCTTCCTCGAAGCTTCCTCAAATTATTTCCAAGCAAGAACATTTCCATGGAGTTTGAATATTTTTAACGTCACGATCGTCTGAAAATAACATCTTAAGTCGTCTTTACTACACAGAACAATTATGAAGCAGGCAATAAAGTAATTATCGTTAGTTGATGAATGAATTGCATCTTCGATCTTCTGACGATCGCTCTACGAAATCGAAGCAGAACAGCCTTAGTGATCACACGAGGCAGATCGAATAAGTGATTTTCATACAATAAAGTCGATTACGGAACAAACATGCCTGGGGGTGTTGTATTTCTGGTCTGTATCCCCACTTTGAGCTACGAGCACCAACTTGTATTCGGTGTGCCGGTAAAACGAAGTGCCTCGAAGAAGATCGAAAAGAGCAAAAATAAAATTGGAGGGCCGAAGGTAGACCTTCGTCTAAAGGAAACAAAAAGCCGCGCGCAATTACTCACGCTTGATGATGATGGCGAAGACGACGACGTCGGTATTGATGTTGGTATTGAAGGCAGAAAATATCCTCGCGGATATCCCACGCGGTCGAAATCACCGGTCTTCGTGTCGATGGAAACGGTAAAGTACAGTAAAAAAAAACATTACAAGATATAGATATTACAAGATAATAAAATATAGACTATAATACGAAGTTATAAAAGATAATATTAACTATCGAAATTATATGAAAAAATGAATTGTACTTATTAAGTAGATATATATCTGTAATTGTAATTACAGATTTCACGTTTCTTTTTAATTCTTTGACTTTAACTTTTCAACTTTAAGATAACTTTATATTTTAAGAGTTTATTAACTCGCTTTCAAAGAATGAGAATTTTCTCTTTGCGAATAGCTCTTCAAAATTTAATTATATTCAATACAATAAGTTTTATTAATTATAAATCATTCTTATTTTTTTAACTTATGAAGTTTGCTTTTACAGGTGCTGGAAGAGCTCCTTAAAAAGCTAAGAGTAGAACACGTTGTATGGTGCAAGGACAAGGAAGACATGTATTATGAGGTACGGCCAAAGTTGCGGATACATTTCCATCTATATGTATATGCGAGAAATTAATTTATTCGGGCATTATGCATAATGCTCAGTCAAAATAGACAGGCATTATGCATATTGACCAACCATTATGCACGATGCTCGAATTAATCGTATTTCTCGTAACATATACATATTTCCAAATGATGAATGCAAACAAAGCTTTCTGGTGGAAGGTGATATTTCCAGTACCCGCCGGTGAACCCTGCGAAAATTGTATACATTGCCTCACCGAGTTGGGTATTGGTGTTAAAATGAACTCGATAGTCAGGTGATTTTAAGGCTGAATTAAAGAAATCGCAACACAAGTTCCAGTACGTTCGAAGTCATGACTTTGGCCATTGATTTTTTTTATTTCTAGCGTAATCCCGACGCAATGTACGTACAGCGGTGTGAACGGTACAAAATCGTTGGCTGTTAAGGACGACGTTGCTCGCAGGTTTCTTAAATTTATTTTTGCTGAGATTAGCGTAAATGTGAAAATATGTTTATGCATTTCCTGCTATTCAGACGAAAAGAATCGGAGGATCGTAAAAACGCTTGGGACGATTTCGTAGGATCTATTAGATCGAAATTGACGGTGAAACAGGTTGTCGATGGCGTTCGCAGTGGTGGTGATCTTACCTTCGATTACATATGCCTTGTATTAACTGCGGAGTAAGAAATCACAAACTACTCTTATTATATATATATATATATATATCTAAATAAATAATTAAGGCAGATTTCCGGTAAGTTCGTTCGACGACCACAAGAGAGTAGTCCTCTAATATTACCAAAAAATTCTTATTATTTATTTGGCAATTTATATGTTATCATCGTTATTAATGCTATCGGGATATTGTATGTAAGGCATTGTACAATATTAAATATAAACTTAATCTTACATTGCCGCAATATTTAAGTTGTATTAATAATAATCAGTTATGTGAAAACTACAATCTTACAGCTGTCTCGCTGCACTTGGTCTCATCGAGAACAGTGCAACTAATGTCGTTGCAGCTATGCTAGTTTCTCCTCTCATGGTAAAACTTTTTAATGCAACTTTGCTAGTGGTTAAACATTGTTTACACGTCACTTAACACTTTTGATCATCGTCTCGTTGATCAAAGGGACCTGTGATGTCTCTGACTTTCGGGACGATCATAGCCGATAGAAAGCTGCAACTAGTCGGTCTGAAGAGCTTGATGCTCGGTATCTTCGTATCAATACTATTTGGCTTCATATTCGGCCTTCTCCTCGGTACAACTGAAATGCCTTGGGGCTATGGCGACTGGCCAACCGATGAAATGAAGGGCAGGTGGATATCACTAAGAGTCAGACAATATCAATAACGCAATAGATTGCATACGGCTTCAATTATATACATTTCAAATATATAGTTAGAAATGTTATCTCAAAATGACAATTTCTTTCTGTAGAGGCAACTATAGAGCGCTTTGGATGGGTGTTCTTTGGGCTCTTCCATCTGGCACAGGTGTCGCAGTCGCTTTGCTGCAAGGTAGTAATGGGCCGTTAATTGGTGTCGCCATATCAGCTTCGTTACTACCACCAGTAGTCAATTGCGTAAGAGAACAATAGTGCATATATCATATAAAAGTAAACTCTATGTAATAATAATTAGACATGTGTTGTTAAAGATGTTTCTCTTTCTTCCATTGTTGGGTAACTGTCAATGATTAATGTAATAATGTAATATTTTTAATGTTATATTGATCGAACAAAAAATTCATTTTTAATTTTCGCAGGGTTTATTTTGGGCTCTGGGATGCATATGGCTCATATATCGACCAATAAAAATGCCCCATATTAAAGGCGAATCTTACACAAACTTTAATAGTTCCTATACGTATATCTACAGCGATTACTTGCCCGTAGAATTTTTCTGCAACGGCATTATCAGCGCGTGTTTAACGTTTATCAATGTAATGTGCATCTTTATTACAGCGATAATAGTCCTGAAGGTAATTAAAGTTAGCACACTACATAGCTCGTTAATGGTCGAGAACAATCGCAAATTGCGACTGTAATTTGCATCTCGTATTATTACATCACCGACACAACATATACTGACATCGTTAATTACGACTTGCCATCGAGTTAAGCAAATTACATCGCGATACGACAAATGCACCGATTTTAAATAATACATATAATACACTTTTATACGTAATTTTTGTTTTCGCCGTAATTATTCGTTCGCAACCGCAGATTAAAGAAGTGGCCGCACCGTATACGTCAACGCCGGAACTACGTCGATTCTGGGAACATGACATTCGGCTGGTTCGCGATAAGAATATCTCTAGAGATAACAGTTCCTTGAATTCAAGGTAAAAAGAGTTATACTTCATTATACTTACTTTATCTATGTGATATCATAGGTGATAATGTAAAAATATTTATGTTATAAACATGACCCTAAAAATACCTCTATTAATATTTTCACTTGAATTAGTTTCTACGATGGATTGAGTAAAACTAAACAACGAGCATTGGAACGTACACTAAACGAAGCAGTCAGAGAAGCGATAAATGACGAAACTTTCAGAAAAGTACAAAGACTCAGTTATGGGCATGGACCGGAAGAGGTATTACCTGAATATCATATAAATTTAAATGTATTGTAATAATATTTATAATAATTTATATATTATGTTATAACAATAACTAAATTATTACTACATTTTTAATTACTTCTTTTAATATTTTTAAAAAATATTGTAGATTAGTCCTCGGCTTGGTCTTCCTGCTCGCGGAACTGGGGGCAAAGGTAACATAAAAGACAGTGAAAACACTGAGGAAATAACAGATGAAAATCTACAGTCACACAAAGGCTTAAATTCTGGCAATACAAGCGAAGACTTGATCGCATTGGATCGTTTAATAACGTATCTTTTGAGTCAACCAAACAACCCCACTGGCGGCAATTTGGATTCATGGAGACGCTCGCATCGAGCTAGTTCACGAGGGTATAGACAATTACGTGGCACTGCCGCTGATACCGACGCGGAAACCGGTGGCGTTGGCACAACGACTCTTTGAGCATAAATTGACATTTAAAGAAAAGCTAGCATCGCATATAAAATAGCAATACGATAGCTAGTTTCAAGTTAAATGTCTCAAGCATGAGATAAAACTGTAATGAAGACAAGGCACATATAGAAATGTTAATTTTGCTAAAGATAGATTATTAATGTCTGCATTTATATCACAATTTACACAACGTAGCGAATATAAGAATTTTAAATAGATATCTATAAATCACCTTAATCATCAGATGGTTCAGTGCCAAAGTACCTATCGCCAAAATTACCGATACCGGGTAATACATAAAACTTCTCATTTATCTCGGGATCCAACGCGGAAGTGACAATTTTCACTCGCGGAAAGGCGTAAGCAATCGAATGCACACCAGATTCGGCCATCAACAATGACGCCAACAGTACATTTTCCTCAGCAACGTCATGATCCAGAAGTACCCTGATCGCCATAATAGCAGCAGCACCAGTTGCAACAGTGGCATCCATCAATATTACTCTATAATCTTTGATGTCCTTTGGTAATCGAAGATAATACAACTAGATACAAGAAATTAAATGAATCATTGGTCATCGATCAAGGATAGATTTGCGAAAGAAAAATGTTCGAGTGCTTACTTCAGGCTCGCCAGTTTGCTGATTAGTTTGGATGAGAATTTTTCCTATGCGTATGTCCTTGCACACATCTCGAACAGCCTGCTCCATAGTCTCACCGGCGCGTAATATCGATACACCGCATATTTTGTCCGTCGCACCTCGTTTGCCGCCATATAATACTCCTTGCGGTGTTTCGACAGTTACATCCTTCATACAAAAATAACATATTATAACATGTGACATCAGAAATTAGGAGCTTACAATTCTTATAAAAATTACAATTATAATAAAATTAATTTAAAAATTCTGGCCTCTTTTATTTAGAGTTATGATAAAATAAAATAACCAATATACATATTGAATAAAAAAACAAATATTCATGTTGAACAACATTTATATTAATATTTATATACGTTTGTGTTTACCTCAAAAGGCAGCAAAGACAACGCATATTCGATGACTAGACGAATCAAACGTTTAGAGTAAAAAATAAATTCATCTCTATAGGTCTCCTTGTTTCGTATAAACGTATGAAGACCTTTTATCTGCGGCGTGTCTGGAAGCAAGTACAAAGATGAAGGCAATGGCTGACCGATGTACGAGTGCGCCAGTTTTTCCCTCAATTTAAAACCTCTCTGAAAGTCGCACAGAGATCATTAGAATTGACAATAATTTTACGTTAAAATGTAAAATAAAGATTAGCAATTTACCAATTGAAGTTGAGTATGAACATGCTGTACAATTAGCTCTATTGCCACTTCGTTTTCTCCTCCGCGCGGCACAATAATATCCGCATGGACCATAAGAGGCGCTATGTAATAATAAAAAGCCGGCTGCACATGTTTACTATACTGCTTTAATACACCCTCCAGGTCTCTGCCTCTTTGCGAAATATCCCTTCGTAAACGCCTGGCCAGTCTGACGTCCGCATCAGTATCGACGAAAACTTTCATATCGCACAGCTTGATGAAACGTTTATCTATTTACTCTCTTTCGATATTATATATTATATTATCTTATATTTTTCCAATCTTTAAATTAATTTATCTTTTTACCCACTTACCTTCAAGACGTCGACATTGTAAAAAGTAAGTATTCCCTCGAAGATAATGACGTTGGCACCATACATGGTTTTCTTTCGAATAAAAAAGAAAAAAATTGTATAAATTGCAATGATTTCTTGCATAAGTAAAAACCGCAATCAAGTCAACTTACCGTTCTACTTTCTCTACGATGTGTTACAAAATTATAAATAGGAACTTCTACCATGCGTCCTTCCTTTAAACGCTGCAACGTAGTCTTGAGAAGTTCAAAATCGAATGCGTCAGGATGATCAAAATTATACTCGTTGTGTGCAGCCATCTCGTGCTGCTTCTCATTTAATACCTATAAGATAAATATTCAGTAGTGTCTACAGTATTATTAAATTGTTTTCCATAATGCTAATTTATACAAGATATTTTTAATAAATACTATTATTAGAATATTTAACGCACTTTATAAAAAGAATCCATACTAAGGAGGGTCACCCATGGTACATCTAAAGATTCTATGATTTTAGTTGCCACTGTCGTTTTTCCAGAGGCGCTGCCTCCACAAATACCTATCGCAAATATATTTATCAGTAATCAAAATTTATATTTATCTCATATAAAAAATTTAAATCACCCATCAAGTGATAAATTAAAAATCATTGTAATTAAATTAACAATAAATGTCACTAACCAATTACAAAAGGTTCTACTTGTTGACCAGCTGAATTGTACCAAGGAGGTCTACCAGCTGTATAAATAGTTCGCGTTTTGCTCCTGAGAATAGATTCTGTAGATGTCTTCTTACTTGATTGTGACATACTAGTAGTGCGCTGCCTTCGTGATCGTGGTGACTTTTGTGAACCTGTTTAATTATATAATAAATATCTTATCTTTCTATCTCCACATAATAATCAATATTTATTTTTTGGCTACATAATCCCTTATATAATTTTATTTATGATTTGTAATAAAGGATTTAATTAATCAAAGGAATAGGAATAGGATTAAAAGTAAGAAGAAAACCTTCTATATATTTCATATTAAATGTCTTCTAGGAGCTCATTAAGAAAAGACGATGAATTGTTTGAATCTTCTTTTACAGGTACATTGAAGTATTGATTCTGTAAATAATGCGTCTATGTATACTATACATATGTGGAACTTAATAAATATGACATATGTACACTAACTGTACATTATTTACGTATATTACTTATCCTATTATCTATATGTATTATTTATAAATCATGTAAGCATACTTTATTCATACTTTATTCATATCTTATCTTGTTACAATTATTTCATTCATTATATATATATATATATATATTCCTGAAACAATCTATATATTACAGATGATTCATTATCAATGAATAACAGATATAAGTTGTCACACATAAATATCGTTCTGTTATCACAAACATATATAAGTACATATTACGTACTTACATATGTACGTAAGAAATTTATATACGTCACATCAGGTGTATTAACATAATTCTATCTTACTAATTCAACAAACAGGTTCTACTAACAGGTCTTGTTAATAAAAAAAGTAAATCACTACCACATGTTAGATTAGAATGAGTTTTAGGTAGATGTTAGAAGAAAGTTGCTCTTCAAGATCAGGCATATCAGAGTGAAATTTTTTGACTGAAGAAAGCCAATAACAAATAAATTTACCTGTGGACGGTGGCCTTGGGGATTGTGGCGTGCCTACGTCAGAGTGCCTGTAATGCTCAACATCCTCGCACAACTCATCGGCGAGGAATATCTCGCGATCGTCCAAACACGCGTCGCCGTCGTCGCTAGCAAAATATCAGCAATAGAAATTTCGTTGATTTTCAATGGATGTTGATGAGTGGAAATATGCTATAAAATTTAAAAAGAAGAGGAAAATCCTCACACATACCTCTCAGAACTCGCTGAGCTCGGTGGCTCGAATGGGGGCTGCATTTTAGCTGCCATGTTCCGTCGACACCGCTGACCTCGGGTTCGTCGCTACCACGTGCACGTTGCAGCTGCAGATGCAAATGGTTGCAGACGATCACCTGCGCAACCTACTCTACTTCTTTACTTTTACTGGCCCCGGTCTCCGCACACGGGCTTGACGTGAACAGTGTCTTAGCCTACTGCGTCATACGTAAATTTCACGCTGCGCGCCAAACATACGTATCAGTACACGATGTGATGGCGCACAGCGATGTCACATCACACTGGGTATCACCGTACCGCATACGAGCTGACGGCGCAAAGTTGCAGAATGCAGAGTCGCGCGGTCAGTGTTCTCAAACGTGAGCAACCGTGAGAAAGACCCCACCATTCCGTCCATTCGTTGGATATTCTCGACGTTTTCGCGCGCGTGCGTACCAACAACCACGTGATTTTCTCGACAGTATCGTGCCTAGAAGTAACACAGGAAGTCGCCTAAAACCATTATATTTTTCCATCTTTTATTATCATTATTAAAATTATTTCAGGATTATTAGCACATTTTTATCTTAAAATAATTTAATTTTAACTAATTTTAATTACTCATACATATTATTTAATCGATTTAAAGTAAGGTTTTCTATGTACGTGTCCAGATTTTATAATTTCGTTCATCACGATGGAGGCATAACGACAATCATTTATCGAGATAAAATGTATACGCGACTGAGAGAACTGAGCGCGATGCTAAAATTTGCGCGTGCGTGGGTATTTTTGGGGGCACCGGCCACGCGCAGTATTGTTCCAAAACATTGTGCGCATATACTACACGTTTTCAATGAGCATATTGAAGCACATGTCTGATTCATACTCGACATTGGCTGTTCAGCGCTACAAAATCAATTCCACAATTAGACATTTTTATATAATATTACCTATTTTATATTTATAAATGTTAAGCTATTGTTGCTGATTAGATTTAAATTTGTATCCTAAAAAAAGATTCGTAAACTTAGAAAATATATAAAATATTGTAGAAATATTGAAAACTATTATCGTTTTCCTTGAATCTCTTGTTTTTCTTTTAAAGACTTCAATTAGTTACTGCAAGACATTGATCCACTTATATTCATTTCTTCTAGAGAGATCAATTTTGATCTCTTTATTTCTTTATTTTTTTTAATTTCTAGAACTGGAAAAAATAAAAAGTAAATTAAATCAAGATTAAAATAGTAACTTAAATTAAAATTAAAATAACATTATAATTATTGGGGTAGAAATATAAGTAACTGCGGCTTTTCGTTCTTTTTTTATAAAATTTTCCTTTGTTTCTTTTATATGTAATATTACAAATAGTGGCCTTTTAGCCAACTTGCTTATTATTGAATTAATTATTAAATATTGTAGCTTTAATTTTATCTGCTTGCAATCAATATAGGTTTTTCAACTATTTCTTTTTCTTATAATATTTCTTTAATTTAAAAAATGTTAAGGTCTGCTCTACAATGTGCTAATTTGTTTCCGGTTTTTGTTTTTTATGTTTTGTTTTTTTCTCCTTTACAACCATTTTATCGACAATTGTATTTCTTACTACATATTTCTTGTTTCTTTCGAAGTTCTTTAACTTTTATCTCGGGCAATATAAAATAAAAAATTGACTTAATACTTTATAATGTTTTTAACGTTATTAAAACAGATAATAAATTTAAATTAATTATTTAAGTGTTAATATTACATAAATCATTATTTCAATTATATTTATTTCAATGTACACTCATAACACAACGTTCTCAGCTCCAATAGGGCACATTAATAGGGACAAGTTTAAAATCTTGCAGTACATATTACTGGATATTTTCACGTAAATTTCTCATATCTTTTGAAAAATATTTAAAATACTTTAATATTCAAAAAATAAAATATTATCTTCGGTATCGTATGCATTATTAATTTAACTTAAGAAGAAAAAATATTTTTTCTTATTTATTCGTGCTAGTTTTCTTCGTGATTTATCAAAATACAAGCACACTAATATGGACAGCCACGGTAATTGGGATAGTTACCCCATTACGTAAAACAAACGACAAACGGCCGCGGCACGAGATCGGAGATAGTGCGACATTCGTACTCGTTATTGATTCGAGTCATTTGATTGTTCACATTTGATCATGCCGCAGGACGGTAGGCGTGTGCTCTCGAAAATCGCGGATAGGAGTTGACCAAAGTTGACGGAAAATTACGCGAAAAAATCAGTACGAGTGGCGCGTCTCGTTTTTACCGGGCACGTTTGCCGTACGGAACTCGAGGATCTCGCGGTGGAATCGAGACGTTTTCTAAGCTTAAGGCGATGGTACGATGACCGCTCTTGGGTTTCTTGTGTACGCATTCGTCGTAGTGGCAAGCTCATTCGCGTACAACAATGATGACGAATGCATCTTTCCTTTTTTCGATAGAGCTCATATAACAGCGACTTCCTTGCCCGAAAGAGGACCGTACAATGCTAGGCTACATGGAGATTCCGCGTGGTCATCAGAACTTAGCAGTTACAGTCAACATCTTACTATGGAGCTGGGGGACATATATGAGATACGCAGCATTTTTACGTAAGGACGAGCGCATACTAATGAATACGTGACAGAATATATTATTCAATATTCGTACGATGGTCAAGCTTGAGTTACTAATAAAACCCAGACTGGTGTAGATAAGATATTTAAAGATAACATAGACGGAGACAGTATAAAGCTTAACAAATTTAACGTATCGATAATTACACAATTTATTAGAATAAATCGAACACGATGGCGAGACAGGATATCGCTGAGGATCGAACTTTACGGATGCGATATATATTATGTATCTGATATCGTTTCCTTTAATGGATCCTCTCTGATACGATTGGATTTACTTAGAGAGTCTATCGAGACCGACAGACATTCTATACGTTTTCGATTTAAAACAAATAATGCTGACGGTGTATTAATGTATTCTGTTGTGTATTTGCAGGTAGATAATTATGAGACGAAGGAGTTTGAATTTAACATAAAGCATTCTGCAGACGCGCAACAATATTCAGTACGTGTACATCGGCAGAAAAGAGTTTATCAGAGGGATTCGCGGGATGCATATCGAGAGTTGAATTCGATGACATATATCCGTTGAAGCTACTCTTTCAAGAGAACGGACCTGCTTACGTCCGTTCACTCGGTCCTTCAGTAATCGAAGACTTCCACGGAGTCGAACCGATCACGCATCCGCCATATATTAAAGAGACGCGATCATCATCTGAGATAGATGAGGAAAAAGTGAGAGCGGCATATAACGAGACTGATACAGCTATTCGGGGAAGCGTATTAGCGATTATTCTGATTCCATTTGTGATAATGGCGATTCTTATAGACAGATATACATCTAGGTATAAAGGTATGAATACTTGCTACAAGAAGACAAGAGTGCTGAAATTGCTCTGGATCCGGATTCAGCGGTCGTGAACTCTGCCACTGGTCATCAAGAACAAGAAAAAGAAAGAGTGGTTTATTTAAAAACTGAAATGCATCATATTAGATATGTATTAGAGAAAAGTAACAAGTACACATTAAATTAATCTAAAATTATATATATATTTTGAATAAGGATAAAATCTCTTTTGCTCCATTCAATGCACCATTGATTTTTTCATACATATCATAATTTTTGTACGCCAGAAATACAAATGTAGAATCCAAAATAATTAGAAATCAGAAAAACGAATTTTTTAATTCTGTTACCCATATAATAGTTTTATCAAAAATACTCCAATTTTTTATTATCTAAGTCTAATTATTAATTTTATTTAAAAATTTGTATATATGTTGTTGTCTTCCTGTAGAATTTGACAACACTGCCATATAAAGAGGCCTAAAAAATTTTAAAACTAAAAAAATTTTGTCATTCCCTCTAATAATTTCTAAGTAACAGCTTTGGATCATACTAAAAATAAAATAAAAATTTAAGAAAGTGCTCAGAAATCGCAATTATTTACATTTCATAGAACTGAATATGAATTTTGACTAGCTTTTTCAGATATTATTTCATTATATAATATAAATCAAACTATTGTATTATTTCATATTGTTTCTTAATACATTTCTCAGAACTCTGCATAATATAATTGCCAGTATACGAATATATATACATATATTTACATACACATTATATTTAATTTTTTCAAGTACAATTACGATAGCAAATGAATGATTTTAATTTTTGCATTTTGCTCACGTTCATTACGCGAGAAAAAGAAGTGATTATTTTATATAATTATTATTTCGTGATTAGGGTATGATCCGTTCCAATTTAAATGCAATTTAACAATGAAACATAAAAGAGTGTTTTATGTAACATAAATAGATTTTCCATATACACAGCTGTCTTTACTACAGATAAATTACTTATATATTTTGTTTTCTTTTTTTTTTATATAATATTCGCAGTATTAATTGAAATGTCTACCGTCCAAATTGCGTTTAATACTTTTTTTTACATTTATTTTATTTTCACACATTTGTTTGTGATTATTTTACAGATATTTTTTTTGTTTTTACATGATCTGCAAACTCACTGTAGAGTAATTTAATATTAATATAGCATTAAGGATAATAATTGTAATAATAATAACAGTAGAAATGATAATAACGATAATAACGATAATAATACTCAAATTTTTGGAACAAAAACGATATAATGATCTGAATGAATATGTCTTTTTTATACTGAGAACGAAATTAAATAAAAATAAATCATCTTTACGTAGGTATGCAACGACAATAAATACATCATGGATCATCAGAGGCTGTGACGCAGAGAGGAGATCCGAGGGAACAAGGGAAACTCTTGCCCACGCAGGCCAAGTTAGCTATCTTTGGCATGTACATACATATGTTTGTGAAAAAGCAGCGGAGCCAACGTGCAGGCACGCTTCGAGTATTGCAGCTGCATACTGCAAGGAAAATATGCGCCAACATTTGCGCCTGAACTGCAAACGCATGCATCTTGGCTATTTGGTGTAGCGATAAGAAACGTGGGAATCGAATAACCGACGTCATATCTACGTAATATCGATATCGCAGACGGTTATTGATGAATATGTAACAAAGAATATTTTAAAGTGCATGCATCGAAATTACGAAATTGAATAAAATTACGAAATCTAGTTAATATACGCATCTTTTATGTAAAACTTACATGTAAAATTAACATAAGTGTATGCTTATCGTAGGTATACATAGAAACTTATATCGTTAACTTCCTACGCAACGATATAACAAAGTTTTCAGAAAATAAATGTACGTGCAATATTTTTAAAGTTACATTTTTTCTTTTTTTTTTCTTTATGTTCTTTTTTGCAAACAAACGAGCAATATATTCGATATATACATTCATATGTTAAAGCGTTAATGAGAGATTCTTCAAGTTTTTCAACAAGAGTGACATTGTGTAACACAGTGATCATTTCATCATATTGGCGAACAAGGACGTAATAATTTACGTCCTTGTTACTGTGTCATCTGTGTCTCTTGTTGGAAAGCTTCCTTTATTGTGTGTATTTATAATCGCAGCATAATAATTTTTTAAATGTATATAGTAGGAAGCAATTTGATATGTACTGGAAATTTGAGAATGAGATTTTTATTACAATATATCGATGTGAATACGTAACGTATATAACAAAAAAAACAAGTTTATGCGAATTCAATCATATCATCATTATTTCGGTATTTCCCGGATCTCGGTTATTTCTGATATTATCATAACGATTACGCAATACCTATAAAGACTATTTTTGAAATTTAATATTCGAAATGTATAAAAGAAATTCCCCAGCAAATTTAAATAAATCCCATAAAAACATATTTTACAACGATTTATTATAAAATATACTTTACAGATTTTAAAATTTAACAAACAAACGATATTCTATAATTAAATAGATCGTAATAAGAAAATATTAATTTTATTAAATGCATAATAATTCCACGTGATATATTTTTATATTATCGACATGAAAATAACTTTCAAAAAAGATATATACATATATATAAATATATTCAATATTCACACAAATGCCAAGATAAAATAAGTAATACATAAATATCAAAGCAAATTTAAATAATTTCAATAAAAACGATTTATGATATATCAGGAATATGTTTCACGGGTCGAATAAAATTTAAGCTGAAGATATTCTAATAAATACATTATAATGAAACAACATTATTTTTATCACAAATACAGAATATAATTCCACGTGATGTATTTTTATGTAACCATAAAATAACTATTTCAAAAAAAAAAAAACGATGTATAATATATCCAACATCATAAAAATATCAGATAAAATTCTATAATGGAAAATTCCATCCCTTCTCCTTTATCGGTTATCACGAAAATAAAATATGATCTTTTGCGATAACAAAGTAGAAATTCATAGAAATTTAGAAAATATCGTTGTAGTTTCAGACCGCCGCCGACATCGCGCGATGTCGTGACGAATTCACTCGTTCAGCCGGTAACACTGAATTTCGTTGTTCGATCTTGCGTTGTTGTCGGTCAACCGAGTGCAAAGTAGCGAACGGTAGCGAACGTCGCAAAGAGGATACATATAGAAAAAGAGAGAGAGAGAGAAGAAGAACAAAGACAAGAAGAGGGAGAACGTGCCGAAAGTCACCCCCGCGTTTACCCCCGATGGCTTCTGCGTCGTGTTGACTCCGCCGTCGCGTGACGTCGCGCCGTCTTTTAATAGTCCGCCGCCTCTCCGCAACCGGTTCGCCCGTATGATACGACACGATACGTCTACATACGTATACGTACGTCGCAGCCCGTCGGGGAGACGCGCCCTCGTTCGACCTTGAACGGCTATAACCGGTGCGTAACGTTCGATGTACGGAGCATCGTCGCTGTTAATCGCGACAATCAGCCGACCGCGAGTCACCGTCACCGCAGCACCACCGTAGCAGGTCCGTGCTCCTTTTACTCTGTTTACTTCCTCCTTCTTGGCGCCTACTCCTCGACGCGGGACTGCCTCGGCGGTGAAATGGCGAAGAAGACGTACGATCTACTGTTCAAGCTACTCCTCATCGGCGACTCCGGCGTCGGCAAGACCTGCATACTGTTCCGTTTCTCGGACGATGCCTTCTCCACCACGTTCATTTCCACAATAGGTGAGAGAAAGAGATGGAGAGCGAGGGAAGGAGATCGGGAAAGGCCGGTAGAGACGAATCGTGGAGATTCTTTCGTTGATGACGACGAACTTGGCTCGCATTCTTTTACCGGCGATTAGGTTAGAATGTCGCGCTTCGATTGGAAATTACGGCCGTCACGTTCCATAAAATTCAATCCAATCGAGCTGATCGCCGCTTCGTTTCGTGTGAGGGCCACACATGTGCGTTACTATACACACACACACACGCGCGCGCGCGCGCGCGTACATATTTGCATGGTGATCAGGGTATAATTATCAGCCTGTTTTTCTTTGAGAAAAAAAATTGCACTTTGCTTCGCGAGATTTTAGCGGAGTCATACATCCATTTGTATGAGCATAAATATATATTGCACAAGTTACACAAAAGAGATGTATATGATTTTATGATATACAAATTATTCTCTTTTATATACAAATAATTATTTAATAAAAATAAATAAAAACTAAGATACCTTCCATAATTAATATAAGTTAAAATACATTTTCTATAATTAATTTTTATTTTCGTAACGGTAATTAGAATGCACAAAATATGTACCTAGAGTTTCTCGAAATTGTAATTTGTGTTTTATTCTTTTTGTCGAATGGAATATAATAAGTGGTTTCTTTTCTTGCAGGTATCGATTTTAAAATCAAGACGGTAGAATTAAGAGGAAAGAAAATCAAATTACAGATATGGTGAGTTGCATATGAACATTAAAAATTTTCTATATATTTATGTGGTTTTATTTATCTACAGGGACACAGCTGGGCAGGAAAGATTTCACACTATTACAACATCATACTA